AAAAGTATAATTAATATTAATTCTAATTTATTTGATTTATTACACTTTTACTTAGTATAATTATAGAGAAAATTATAAATAATTATAAAAATACATTTATTACTAATTAAAATTCCATATTTAATCTTGTTGGTGAGGTTTGTTGGAAGTTGGGATATATGTTCTTTTTAAAAATGAAGTAACTATTAATATAGATAAAATTGAAAAAAAAAAACTTTAATGCTAGCTATGTTGAAAATTAAAATTGACAAATACAATGAATCAAAGGTAATATAATTTTTTTATATTAATTGATATTAAAAAATAAAATTTAAATTTTATTTAATTAACTATTTAGTTAAAAATGTAATTCAGTATATGAATTTATTAAAACATACTTAATAAAATAATATAAGAAATAATTTTATAAGGAGAGATCTATTTATATATAAATTTTATACATCATATTTATATAAAATCTTAACTATTTATCTCTTTACTTTCAATAGTTGAAATTTATTATTATTTTTTAGATAAAAAATAATTATCTTTAATAAATGTAAATAAATCTCAATAATTAAAAATGAACAAATCAATAGTTAAGATTTTGTATAAATATAATATGTAAAATTTATATATGAGTGAATCTCTACTTTAGTTTTATTAAAAATATTTAATACATTCATATGATAGATTATATTTTTAATGGACAATACGTCCTATAAATTTTTTTTTTTACAAACATGTATACATAATTCCATTAAAAAGAAAAGGGAGAATAACAAAAAAAGGAATCTTTGTTTTGTGTCTAAACGCAAATTCCCCATCTCAAATGCTTGGAGATTTGTATACATAATTGCTTTAGGTGTAGCCCCAAAAACACCAAAAGCGGCAGTAACTCTGTGCAGATCTGAATTGGAGCTGCTTCCACGGTGTATCCCTCTTTGGTGGCAGTTAGGTTAAACATAAAAATAAAATATTAAAATAAAGAGGATATTATTTTGTATTGGCCTAAATTGTTGTTACAGCCATATGAGAATTGGCTTAATTTAATAAATCATCTATTAGTTTTTATATTTTTTTCAGTTTCATATATTATTTTTGAATTCTTTTAATTTTGTCTATTATCTTTTACATTTATTTCAATTTCATCTAGTCTGTTAAAGATAACGGAAATCTTCTTATCATGTTGGAAAATATTTAGTATTCTAACTATATTTCTTTTGATTTTTTAGTCCTTAAATTTATATTTACCCTAAAAATAATTTTTATTCCTATCTTGCTAAATATGTTTTTTAGAAAACTATTTTATAAGATAGATTACGTACAATTCGTCATGTAAAATTATTTAGATATCCTTAATTTTTTTATATTACTTTTCAGGAACATTTAAATAATTTTACAAGACAGACTATATCTGTCTTGTAAAACAGACTTACTCTTGAAACTTCTCATTTTAAAGTTACTAAGTTTCTCTATTTGAATTGATCTAATTGCTCAAGTTTATTGCAAATTCTAACTAATATATTTCTATAAAATATTTCTTAAGTCATCATATTTTATGATGATTATAATGTCACTTTTTTAAATTTTAATAGGCTACTCTTTGCTGTTAGATTTAACAAAAACTTTGTACGGTAGATTAATTTAAAATATTCTTCAAAGTTTATAGACCATTTAGAAAAAAAACAAACTTTGTAGACTAAAATGAAATTAAACTGATAGTTAATAAACTAATTATTGAATTAAGCCTATGAGAATTGCACATAGTTTTGTTATTTTTACAATCTACCTTATTATTTTCTATTCTTTAAGCATCTCCTTCTAGCAAACTCTTCATATGCCGTTTTCAATCATACTATTTCCAATATAATTGAAAGGGTTAACTATGGAAATAAATGTAAGTTTTTCTTGCTTACTCTCTGTTTTCTTACAGAATGATTATGAAATGTTATTGGCACTAGATGAGAACAATCATCAACATGGCGGTGCATATGCATGTGCACCAGATAGATAGTTTACCACAATAAGTAAGTGCAAGTACATGTCTGGATAAAGAGAGTACAACAATCTAAATATACTTCTTTTTAAGTTTCCTTCTTGAGAATAAATATGTGAGTTGGTTGTGTTGATTTATTTGCTAATTTTTTCTAAGTTTTTAATTTTCTTTGTTATGCAAACTGATAATTTTGAAGAAGTTTGTGCTCTTTGTCTTGAAACCCCAGTTGCCGGAGAAGCTATGTGCCATCTTTCTTTCCCAAACAAATTTCACAAAAATGTAGCTTCCCTTTTTTTATTTTCTTTGTCTTTCTATACTCATTTTATCATATTAACTATCAAAGATTTGATGTTTTTTCTGTTGTACGTGACAATGCATTGATCCATCACTCTTAGTTCTGTTTAGTTGGTGTTAATATTGTTATTTTAATTCAATTGAACTTGGTTCTATATAAGTTCATATCTCTTCACCCTTCGTTTGTGAAACACTTAGTGCTATGAATAAGTTGGATGATAATACGAGCTTGATTCAATAATTGCAAATAATTGGGCCATCTGCTACAACCTGCAACGCAGGGTTGTTCAGCTAGTGATTTGCTATGAATATTAATATTTCTTGGAAAGATTTTTAGTTTAATATCTTTGTATACCATTATTTGTTTTTCCTTGGCATGAAAAAAAAAGTTTTGGTAATCATTTTTTCCTTTACCTGATCTAATTTCAACCGTTTAATTTTCAATTATTATGTATATTATGGACAAAATTTCCCAACTTAACTGTATAATAAATCTTGCATTTATTCTTGATGTGACTGATAAGATCCATAGATCAAGTAATTGCTAGACAACTTTAAGTATCTGATTTAATGCTCCTTCTTTATTAATACAATAACAATTTTATTTCTCTGCAAATATTTGTTCTTGCAATGTTAAGATTTATTTTTTAAAGTTATTGAGTTTGAACTTTCAGAAATCACTGATGTAATTTCTTTATTTTCTGTAACATATATTCCATATTTACCAAAAAAAAAAAAAAAAAGTTGTCTTGCTTTTTCTTACTAGTTGGGTCTCACTCCCCGCAAACAAAAGCGTGAAACATAAGGAAAAAGGTCTAGACGTCTCGGATACGCCTACGTTAGTCAATATAGTTTCCTACGTGTATGGCTACAGAAACGGCTAGGTAGGTGCTGGATAGCCTACCTGATGAAAAGAAAAATGAATTCATTATAAAGAGAGATTGCTCTACGATATTTAATGAGATTGGTCTCCATTATTGTGACCTTCCTCAGACGATGAGCATTATAGAAGGGAGGCCGTAAATAATATTTTATTTCAGCTTATACGTCGGCCTATACTATATTATGTCTATATAAAAAATGCATATATAAGATAAAAGATTTGAAGAAAGAAATATTAGAATTTAAGGGTGAATGTCAATTTAAAAAAAAAATTGCCAAAATAAAACCATTAATCATAAAGAGATTTTTACATAATAATAGAGCTTGAGAGATTGAAAGATGCTGAAATAGTGACAGTTTTTTATTTTTATTTTTTTTTAAATAGACTATAGGAAATAGCGACTGTTATTATTAGAGAAAGAGTATGCTGGTACTGCAGTTGATGTACTTGTTTGTTATTTATTAGGAGAGAAATGCTAAGGGGGCAGTCGCCTTTTAGCACTTGCTCCACCACTCTCCCCTGTTTTTTTTTTTTTTTTTTGTTACACGTAGTAGGAGGTCGAAAATTTCAACTAACAACCTATTGCAAACGGTTCCTTTTCATTCTTATTTTCGTTTTTGCTCTATGCACTCTCTCATCCTCAAAGGAATCAAGAAATGATAATTCATACTCACACAAAAATCAACATAAACACTTCTAAAAGTATCACTCACCACGATTAAGATTAAGAAAATTTTTATCACTCATTCTTTCACTTTTCACAAGCAACAAATGTAGTACTGAGGGGAAAAAAAAAAAAACCAAAGAATGGTTAACAAGTTATGAGGATGGAAGTAAAAAGCAGAGAAGTAAGATGCAGATCTGATCCATTGTCAAACAAAGAGGAATTAAAGGAAGGATGAGATGACGAATAGAGAAGAAAGAGAAGGAAAAAAGAGTAGAAAGCAGGGGCAAAGTAGAAGAGAGGAAACGACATACGTGGCAAAAAATAAGAGACTGGTGAAGCGAGTGCTAAAGGGCGACTATCCTTGGCATATGTTTTTATTAGGATTTCTTTGCCATTTCTGGGAGCATCAGCTGATCCACCTACTTTTCCTTTTCTGGTGGAAGCCTGCTTTTCCTTTGTGCTGCACGACTGTAATATAAGAGTCAAACTGAGCCGAGAAAAAATGTGATGAGAATCTTTATTTATTATTTTATTATTTTTATAAAGAATTTAAAATTTAAAATAT